AATATAACTAGAAATATTTTTTTTTTTAAATTGCAAATTTTTAAGTTAAAATTTAAAAATTGACAAAGAATATTTATAAAAATTTTATATATAGGTGGATTTAACAAATTTTTAATTTAAAAATTAATCTAAAACAAGAAATTTAGAATCGAAGAATTAACAAAACTTGAAATTTCCAAAGATTAATAAGTGCATAGGATTTAATAACGGGATTAAGTTATAAATGAATTCAACACCTGCTTACGTTGATAAATTCTTGTATAGTGATCATTGAGTCATTTTTGGAAAGTTTTAAAATAATCTCTTCGATTTTAATAGTATGGATCTAGGCGCTTGACGTGGCAGATTTTTTTCTTTTCTTTTTATTAAAAAAAATCAGAGGTAAAATGACAATACTTTATATTTACAATTTATTTTTAACGAAAAATAGATGAAATAAATTTAAATCTACTTATCAATAATCACAATAAATAAATAATATATGTAAAATAAAATGAAAAAATAATAAGGTAAGTAAAATAAAAAAATGAAAATAATAAAATTTATTAGAAATAAAATAAAAGAAAAATTTATTTTTTGAATTTATTTGTAGGTATTATAAATTTATTCTATTAATTATATTCATTTCATTATAATATTTATTAATTTATCTTATTTGCAATATATTATATTATTAATGTTTTTCATTTAATTAATATTGAAGTGTTATTATTATAATTACATTACAATTTTCTTGTCGTTTATTTTTTATTTTTATATACAATATAAACGGGACAAACTTTATATTTAAAAATTAAAATAAGAAATAATTAAAATTAAAGTTAACTTAAACCCGAAAAGTCAAAAGTCTTCTGTATTTACAAAACAGCCAAACATATCACATCTCACGTTTATCTCACATCTCAATGCATTAATTTTGTTAAAAAAGTGTTTTATTATAAAAAGAAAAAAAAAATTTAAATGTTTTTTTTTAAAATCAGTGAAACAACAACAAAAATGTGCAAAAATTATATAATTTAACCAGGTAAGAGTTTTAATGTCTTCTACAAACCACAAAAACTCTACACTATTGAAATTAAAAATTAACAAATTTAGAAATTAAAATAAGAAAAAATTGAAGAACGTAAATTAAAGATTAAATTAAAATTAAAAATTAACCAATTAATCAAAAAATCAAAATTAAAGAAATAAGTATTTAAAAATAGTTTCGTTTATTTTTTATACGTGTGATGTTGAAAAAAAATTGAATACATAAATAAATTCAAAATGTTATTGAATCAATAAAAAAAAATAATTCTCTAAATTTCTTTCGTTCTCAGTGCTCTACTTCTATAATTTTCCAATTTTATTTCATCACTTTAATTCGAAATGGATCAATGCACTTGATTAAAGTTACCATAGCACTGAATCGCATTCTCGAGAGCTGTTTCTTCTTAAGGATATATTAAATAAAACCGCATTCGTGTTATTTTTATTTTATTGTTCGCCTCATCAAATTAAGAGCAACGCATATTTTACCCCGTTTACCATAAATAATTTATATTTTAAATTATATTTTATTTATTTATACATTTATTTACATATAATAAAACAACTATCTGAGACTTATTGTCTCTATAATTCTGAAAAGAAAAAGAAAACAATATTAATTTTGATAACAAAATTAAAAAAATTTCACCCTTGTTTTCCTTTATTTGTAAACAAATGCGTATTAACAATTTAATTTAATTTAACTGCCAACATTTTTAAGTGATTATTATTACTTTTTTTATTCTTTTATTATGTATTATTTTATTATTATTTATTATTTTTAAGTTTTTAAGTAAAATAATTATTTACGCTAATAAAATTATAAAAATTCTCACCAATTTATTTGCAACTGTTTCTAAATAAATAATTAACTACTTAAAAAAATTTCACCAGTTGGTTTTTATTTATTTATTTATTTAAGTCTCAGCCCTCAATCTCAAATTAATGAATAAATAATAATAAATTTAGCTAACAAATTAAGGAAAAGATTGACAATTTGCAACTTTTTTTAAATAAACAATTTTTCCAATTTCCAACTGTTTTTGAACGAAAAAAATTACAAAATTTTTTTAAATTTTCCACCAATTTCCAACTGTTTCCAAAAAAATTAATTTTGTCCTTTTTCTTTTTTCCACTAATTATTTAAAATTATTATTTTAAATAAAAATTGTTACATCCTTGCAATAAAAATAATAATCAAAACTTTTTATCAAAAATTAAAATAAAACCAGTTTGCCTTTATTTATAAATAAATGTATAGGTATAAATAATATTAAATTTAGCTAATTAAAAAAATATTGCTAGTTGTCAACTTTTTCTAAATAAATAATTTTACCAATTTGCAACTGTTTCTAAACAAGAAAAATTACTTAAAAGCTAAAAAAGTTTTTAATTTTCCATTTAATTTCAACTGTTTTAAAAAAATTAATTTTGCCTTTCTTTCGCTAATTATTTTTAATTATTAATTTATTATTCTATTATTTTAAATAAGAATTGTTACATTCTTGCAGTAAAAAGAATAATCAAAATTTTATGATGAATCAAAATAAAAAATAACTTTAATCAAATCGAAATTCGAAAAAATTCTCGCATTTATTAAAAAAGGTCATTTGTAGAGAAATTTTTTTAAAATTATTCTCATCTTTTTTCTTTTCTTAATCTCTTTGGGCAAAAATTTATAAGAAATTGACCACAACTCTCGCTCTCGCTCAATGAATTTCAGTGTAAATTGAAAAAAAAAATAATAGATTTCAAATAATAAGGAGAAGTTGATTTTATATCAGAGAAATTGGAACATACAATGCAAGTTTTTTCCTTCTACACACACGCACATACACAAACACACAAATGGAGAAAATGAAGTTTTAGATTTTCTGTCGGGGACCACCCGGACGACAAGTTCAAGAACCGGAGACTTTTATCCATGAAAGACGACAGTGTTAGGCACACCTTGAAAAGAGGCGCACACCGGCCGCCGCGGATGCTGACTTGCCTGGTCGGCCTGGTTTACTTCTTCACCACTCTGCGTTAGCCAGACACTCACACACGTAAAAATATCACACACACCCATATCCATACATATTTGTGCGTAAGGTGCATTTCGCGCCAACTTTTCGTTCCCACCAGTGGCAACAAGTTTTGTATGTAGGTAAGACGAGACTCTTTTCTCTCGATTGCATTTCAAGACGGAAGCGAACTATATATAAAATTCTTCTTCTTCTCTCTTTCTTTCTTTTTCCCTCATGGCCTGCATCAAGATTCTAAATCGATAGTCTCACATATTGCAAACTGTCGACATAACTCTTTATAATAATTATTTCAAAAAAAAGAAAGAAAAAAATCTAGCTCGATTTCATGATATGGTCCTAAGCCATATCCAAATCGACATGACCATCAGTCAGGCTCTAATTATTTTATACTACTTTTCCTATTTCTTACCCCCACCCTCCTCGCACTTCTTTCTTTTAAGACCCATTTTTGATATAGACTCGAAAACGGACATCCGTTATTTTCATACTTGAACGAAGGCACGTGCGTCCTGTTACATTATACATCTCTTTTGTATATTATCAGTAATACCATTTCAAACTTCCTGGAGAAATTCCTTTTCTACTCGAATGATTTGAGTAAAAAAAAAGGAAAATTCGATTTTCCCCAGTAGAGATGGAGGGAAGAGGGGAAAAAACCTAATAAAAAAAAATGTCGGTCAATTATAAATGAATAGACAAAATGTTAATTGAAAATTTCTTAATTTATTAAATATTTATAAATATACATGATGAATATTACAAATGCGGGATTTTTCGCTTTTTCTCGACAAATAAATACTGAAGGATTAAAGTAAAGAGATAGTGAGAGAAAGAGAGAATGAGCAAAAAAACAATGAGGAAGTCGAGCGATGAGAGAAAATGAGAGCAAAGATAGTTTAAAGGACTATGTAAGGAGAGGTAGATAAAGAGCATCGATTTCAAAAATAAATGAAATCGCATCAACCAGTCGATAAAAAAAAACAATTCAATCTTTTCTTCTCTAACAAATTAAAAGATCGATTAATAAATAACTTCTAGAAAAGAATTATGTATATTAAAAAATAAATTTTGAACCTAAAAATGTAATTTTAATCCACTTAGATAAAAAAATTACAGTAGATAAATTTATTCTGGAGGAAAAATAGTGTCTGATAGAAATTATTTTATCAGAAGTGCAATAAAATACTTTCTACTATCTGGAGGCAAGAGTCTCGAAGGAATAATTACAATTGATAATTGACAAAAAAAAATTGATTATTGAAATAATGTAAAGTAATTACGGATAGAGGACAGAAAGAGAGAGCAAGAGGACAGAAACAGATGGAGACAAAGTGGATAGTTCTAGAGAGAGAGAGAGAATGGACACATCTGAGAAAGCGAAAGAGAGAGAGAGAGAGAGAGAGAGAGAGAGAGAGAAAGAGTAAATGAAGAAAAATCACAGAGCAGTGAAAGACAAGTCTAGAAAGACGAAAAAGAAGAAAGGAAAACGAAGTGAAAAGAAGAGGAGAAAAAATAAAGAAAGTAAAACCGGAAGAAAAGTATGAGGAAAAATTATTTCGAAAAACATTTTAAAAAGGGGGAAAAATGTAAAAAGAGAGAAGAATATGAAAAGGGAGAATAATATAAAAAGGTGACAAATTAAAAAGGAGAAAAATACAAAAAGGAGAAGAATATAAAAAGGAAAATAATATAAAGAGAGAGAAAAGTATATAAAGGAAGAAAAATATAAAAACGAAATAATAATATTAGGGAGGAAGAAAAATACAAGGGAAAATACGAAAAAAAAGATGAAGAAAGAATAAAGGAGAAAAAAAGAATAGGAAAAAAATTAAATAGGTAAAAACAGAAGAAACAGAAAAAAGAAAGGAAGAAATAAAAACAAATGAAGAAATGGATAAATAGCAAAAAATGGAAGAAGTAAAAATAATGAAAAAAATGAAGAAGTAGGAAGAAATAGCAAAAAAAAGGAAGAAAAATGATTAAAAAATGAAAAGAAGAGAGATGAAGAAAGAAGAGAAAGAGAAATGGGAGGATGAAAAATGGAAGGAGGTTCTTAAAAATTAAAGTCTTTCAGATTTTCGTTCGCCTAGGCCGAGGGTGGCTTGTAGGCATTGTAGGCAAGGTCGTGTCCCGACCTCGCCCATCCACTTGAGCCATGACCCGACACTTGGACCACCTCATGTCCATGATCGTGATTCGAGACGAGCTTCTTGAGACCAATTATTGAGGCGAGTACCAACGCCAATTTGCTCACTATCAATGCTTTTCCAGCCAAAAGTGCAAGTGCCCCGAGAGCCAAGGGTACAAGCGTTCCACCAATTAAAAGTGGAATGGCGAGTAGTCCACCCATACCTTTCTTTTTCTTACCTCGGCCTGAAACATAAGCAAAACGTCCCGAGACGAAATTCAACAATTTTTTCCCCTGAAAAGTGAAAACTTTCTTTGCTTACATTATCGATTATCGTTATCGTGCAACAATGTTGTGTAATTTATTACATTCAAGTGATTTTGTTAGTTTTTGCTTCTATTTTTTTTTCTTTTTTTAATGGAAAAAAGGGGAAGGGATGGAAAAATTATGTGGAATGTTGCATCATTATTGTGATGTATGTGATGTAAGATTTTTTTTTCTTTGTAGATTTGCAGCAATTGGGACTTTCAGTTGATGTAAAACTTCAATTATCGTTGTAATGTTAACAAGGAAATTGAAGCAAGAGAAAAATAGGAACAGATTCTAAAAAATAGGAACGACTATTTGCTGTTAATTACTACCATTAATTATTTATTATTATACCATATACTACCATTATTTGACAGTAGTCGTTTTGAATAAGGGTTTGAAATTTCTAGAATTTTTAGACAGAAAAAAGTAAGTATCAAAATAAAAATTTGTAGCTGAAGATTGACAATTGGTGGCAAAATAGAAAAGGTTCCCAAATAACGATACCAAGTTACTATTAGTCCTAAGTAAACATTGATTACAAATTAACAAATGATACGAAAGTATCTGTTGGTACTAAGGAAAACAGTGGTAAATAAAAAATGGTTCCAAATTGCTACAACAATTGGTACCAAAAGATTTACAATTTGTGATAACTTAGCAAATGGAATCAAATGATTAATAACTAGTACCGATTATCAATCGGTACTAAAAACCATTTGTTGTCGTTGTCGTTAAAATTACTAATAAAATATTATTAAACTGATAGTAATGTAGTAAGGAGTACTAAGAAAATTACTACTGGTATCAATGTAACAAGTAGTACCAAATTACTAAGGTAATAAATAGTACCGACTGAATACAAACTGGTACCAAATGATTTAGAACTGGTACCAATATAACCAGCAGTGCTGAGAAATTAACAAGTGGTACCAAATTATTTAAATTGCTACCAGCGTAATAAATGGTACCAAATAATTAAGAACTGGTGCCAATATGACAAGTAGAGCTGAGAAATTATCAAGTGGTACCAATATACCAACTGGTACAAAATAATTCATTAGAATAGGTGTTAAGTTATTAAGCTATTAAATAAATATTAAGGAAGCAAGTGGAAAAAATATAATAATTTAGACCCAAAATTACAATTTAATTCCTACGCATCTAATGGTACAAATAGATTATAAACTGGTACCAAGGTAATAAGTGATAACAAAGTAATAAATGGACCCAAAATAACAACTGGTACTCACATAACTAATGGTATCAATAGATTATAAACTGGTGCCAAGTTAATAAGTGATGACAAAGTAATAAATGAAGCAAAAAACCATTGGTGCTTACATAATTAATGATACCAATAGATTTTAAACTGGTACCTATAACTAATGGTACAAGGAGATTATCAACTGGTACCAAGGTAATAAGTATAAGGTAATAAGTATATTATTATTATTATAATTATTATTATTATTATTATTTTTTTCAATAATAATATAATAATTCGTACTAGCAACAATTATTAGTACCAAAAGATTTAAACTTGGTACCAACGCAGTAAGTAGTATCAATTACTAATACCAAGATATTTACACCTAGTAAAAACGCAGCAAAGTGGTACCAGTTATTGATACCAAAAGGTTTTGCACTTGATATCAACGCGGAATGTGGTACCAACGCAATAAGTGGTACCAATACAAATAAAGGTGCTGATAGAGTTCCCAACTCGGACAATTGATACCAACAGAACAAATGGTACCAAAATGACCAAGGTTGAAACCTACAAAGCACTTGGTACCAAAATAAAAAATTGGTACCAAAAGATCTTCGGTTTGCACCAACGTAGTAAATAATTGCAAAATAGCAACTGATACCAACAGAACAAGTGCTAAAGAATAATTTAAGGGTTGGATTCTGTAAAGAGATATACACCATTGGCTTCATATGGCGTACATTCCCTTAAATAACACATCCGCTCAATTGATACCAATATAACGACTATCGGTTCAAAAACGTTGCTATAAATTGCAATACATTTTGAATTACTATAAATTAGTACAAGTAATTATCATTTAAAAAGCAAAATTCACATTTTTTCTAAGGATATCCAAACTGATATAAAAAACGAATCAGAAGAGTTCCGAAGCAACGTTTTGATTCGTTTTTCGTCTCAATTTGATATCCTCAGAAAAACTGTGTTGTTAAATAATATAAAAAAAGTGATAATCACCTTCCTCAGTGAGACTCCTCTGCAGCTCCTCAACATTAGGAAGCTTCAATTTAAGAGTGTGACTTTGGAAGAAGTTGACAATCTTGTCGAGAATCATGGTATTGAGTGCGTCATCTCGATCGTCGAGTGCACGTGGTAAGTTTGCCTCAATTTCCTCGACTGATTTTGGCTGCTCATCGGGTGTATTTGGATCGTCCTTGACTAAAGTGATTCCGTCAACAATGTTGAGCTGTACACTACGAGATACCCTATCCATGGCGGTGAGAAGTTTTAACTTCAAACATGAGCTCAACTCGGATCCCGAACAATCTTTATAGACCTGATAAACATAACGTAAATCGCCAAACACCCCGCTACCACCAGACCTTGCACTCTGATCATCAATTGAATTACTCGTTGGTTGCGTGTCTGCTGATCTGGCTGATGCTGTCGCCATGATGACAGCAAGGCATATGCAGTGGTAGGCGAATAATCTCATTTTTGATTCACTGAAGGTAGCTGTAAAGAATAATCGATTTTGTTAATTTTTATTTATTTTTTATTCAAATCTTTTTTGATTTATTAGTAGTAAAAAAACTAATAAGTAGGAAAAGCAATAAATTTTACTACTTATTAGAAAAATTTGTTGCTGTTAAAATTTTTACTGAATTGTTAAAATTTGTTTGAGGGCTTTTGAATTATTAACAAAATTTGTTACTAATGAAGAATAGGACAAATAATGGAAAATGTTACTGATCATGGTTTCATTTTTGGATTTTTCGAATTTGTTGTTAAGAATAATAAAATCTTGCTACTAATGAAATTTTGCAAAAATCAAAACATTTGCTATTGATATTTGTCCCATTTGTTAAGCAACAGCAGAATTTTTTGTTAATGATCAGTAAAAAGTAGTGCCTGATTAGAAACTAAGACAAGAAATCGAAACTGATCCTAATTACTTTTATCTCTTTTTTGATAATTTTTAAGTCGTTTTCAATCTACAAATATTTATGATGATCGGTAAAATCGGAAAACTGATGTAAACCTTTTTCTACTAAATAAAAAATTCCACAAAGAAACAGAAGAGAACCTATTGTTCTAAAAATGATAATGCAAAAATTTTCGCAAATTGATTAAAGAAATTTTTTGAATTTCTAAAAATTACCATTGACTAAAAATGTAGACAATAATCGACAATTGCTTCTAATAATATTAAGTTATTAGAAATCTCTATTATTATAATGAGCAAAATAAAAATCCAATATGTTTATCATCAGACAAATAATCATCAATTGTAGCAAAATGTTTTATTTGCAATTTGTAAAATAATATTGTTAAATAATATTCTTCTTTCTTGTTTATTTAACTTAAAAAATAATACTAGAAGTAATAGATAAATATTACTAGAAATATTAGTTACAAATGAAGAACAATTGAAAATAATCAATCACACTTTTGAAAATTATCAAAGAGGATTCTAAATCGTCAAAAACTTGTGTTTACTGATTCTTAAAAAAATTTTCCAAAACCAAATTATGAAAAAGAAATTGAAATTGACAATTTTTGAAAATGATTAAAGATCTAGACAAAAAAATTTACAAAGTCATCAAATTCTCAAGTCTTCAATTAGGAAATCCTCAATTTCTTAAATAATCAAATTCTAAATTTTTCAAATATTTAATCCTTAATTTTTAAATCGATAAATATTCAAATTTTAAATCATCAAAAACATAATGTTTTAAATTATCAAATCTACAATTCTTTAATTCATCAAATCCTCAAATCTTTACATTATCAAACTTTCAAAATTCAAAATGAACAGTTTAACAAATCGTCAAAGAAACGAATCATCAATTTAATAATATATCAAATCGTCAAAGAAATAAATTTTTCAATTGATAATTCATTATATGATCAAAAAGACAAATCATCAAATTTTTAAAACTTCAAATTAGCAATTTATTAAATCATCAAATACATAGATAAATCATTAAATTCGTAATACATCAAATCATTAAAGAAATAAATTCTCAAATTTACAGTTCATTATATTATTAAAAAAGACAAATCATCTAATCTTCAAATTATCAGACCTTCAATCTTCAAATTATCAAATTTAAAATTTTTAAATTGTAAAATCTTAAATCTTTAAATTATTGAAACTTTCAATCAGCAATTTTTCATTTGGTTAAACCAACAAATCCTCAAATCTTTGAATTATCAAATTTTCAATTCTCTGATTCATCAAACCAACTGATTCTCAAATATTTCAATTATCAAATTTTCTATTCTTTAATCATCGAACCAAGATCCTTAAATATTTTATACATCGAATCCTCAATTTCTCAAATCATCAAATTTGATAATTGTATTTATTAATGCTATAAAAATAACAACAATTATGAGAAGAGTAAAAATAAGTAAAAGCTACTTTTTGAACCTATGATAATCAATCGAAATAAATTTCTAACAAGGAAGAATTCCTTCTAATGAGAAGAAAGTAATTGAAAAATGATCTACTAATTTTGCAAATTTTTTTGCAATCTTCAAAAATTGCAATAACAATCCATCATAAAAAATGTTATGATGAAGAATTTAGCAAAATTAGATTTATTCAAAAAATTTAATTTAATCTTTAATCCAGAAAATCCAAAATTAGCAGAAAAAATTGAAACTTTGTTTAAAAATTTCAATATTATAAATTGAAAACCACAATGATAAGAATCACTATTAAAGAAATAATCCACATTGAAGCTAAGTACAAATGAACCTAGACGTAATTTTTTTTTGCGCAAAAGAAAAATCCTCAATTGTTTATTTCTCACGTTTTTCGCACTTTTCAAATTTATTAAGTCACCCTTGAAGAATTAGATGAAATAAAATTAATTTGAATAAAATTCGATGATTATTATTTATTCCACTTAATGCAAGTGGTAGGAGTCACGGAACACTGTACCTTTTCTATTGTATACTAAAAATATAGTAATCCAGTTCGCGCGATTCGATACGAATCAAAAGGAAAATAATTTTTCGCCTTCTTCTTTAATAAAAAGCTTCTCCTCAAAAAAAGCAACTAATAATCTACTATTAAACTCGCTGACGATCGCGAGATGCGTACTTGAGAGCACTCTACGTAGACTGTACGTAACGGAAGCCCTGCCCTAGCTCTATATATCTGGTCAGGTGTACCACCGTACACGGGGATATTTTCCCCCACCAATTGCGGGAATACTCAACCATTTTCATACACAATCATCATGAAGAGCGGTTTACGTTTCAACGACAAACAACCACCGAACCGAGTCGAGAGCAATGAATACCATCAGCATCAATACCCCTACTATTTTCAAATCACTCCTCCTCCCCCACTTTCTTATTTTATTGTTTCTTTCAAAAATATATTCACGTATTTTTTGTACGTCTCTTCTTTCTTAAATGTCTTAAGATTCACCCCCTCTGATGACTACAACTTTGCTCATCAATGAGACATTTGAATTTCAGACACTCACATGAAACATATATCTTTCTTGAGTTCAAATGCCTCTCTTCAACTTGTTTCTTTTCTCTCTTTCAGTTTCTTTTTTTTACTTCTTTTTATTTCTTTTCACGTATTTGCTGGTGATTTCGCCTTATCGCAACATGCGAATCATTCTCACGCTTCCTTACAAAAAAAAAATAATAAAATTTCACTAGGCGGAAACGTTGCTCAATATTTTAGTGTCGCGGTGACCTTATTCGGGGTTGAATCATTCACTAGAAATTGTTCATGGATCATTGTCATTTTGATTGTTGAATTAAGTTTGTTTTTTTGGTATTTTATCGATTTTTTCATTCCGTTGGTAGAGATGAAATTATTTAATTTTTTTATTGTGTTTTGGTTTTTCAAAATAATAAACAAATTAAAGTTGCATGTTACGATGATTAAAAAATGTTCAGAGCACTAAACAAATATTCAGTATTTAAACAAATTTCTTTTTAGTAAATTTTGGAAATATTGTTCTTAAACAAATGTCTGTTACATAAACAAAAATTTAATACATAGACAAATGTTTCATACATAAACTAATATTTATTACATCAAGTAATTTTTACTACAACAAGTACAATGTTTTATCCATAAACTAATGATTATTATATCAAGTAATTTTTACTAAATCAAGTTACGTTGCATACTTAAATTAATGCCTTATACATAAATAAATGTTGCATATGTATAAACTAAAGTTTATTACATCAATTAAGGTTACAAACATAAAATAATGCCTTGTACATGAACTACTGTTTCATACATAAACAAATATTTTATAGCTAACATTAACAAGTGTTCTTTTTACGACAAAAAATTAATACAATAATTATTACGCAAAAGAACATTTGTTTTATAGTATAGTCTATACATAAACAGATGTTTGATTTACTTAGAAAATGTCCTAAATAAATGTAAATAAATATAATGTGTGAATAAAATTATCTCGTACATTACTGAATATATTTTGTTACATTAACAAAAATTCAATATTATATAATAAATGTTTTGTCACATGAACTTCTATGTAAATAAAATTGTTTTACACATTAGCAAACATGTTTCGTTATGTTAAGAAATATTTGATATATTTAAAAATTATGCCTATACAATGTTTCATACATCACAATTAACTAATGTTTTATTAAAATTGTCAAGTGTTCTAATTTTATAATAAACAAATTTTCTAAACTAAAACAAGTGTCTTGTTAAAAAACGAATGCTTAATTACAGTTAACAAATGTTTAATCCACAAACAAATTTTCAACACATAAACAATTTTTCTTGCAACATAAAGGAATTTGGGTGTGATATTATAGTGGGGTTATAGATATTATAGTTTCGACGGGCGAAAGCTCATAAATAAAATATTTTAAATAATTAAAATTATGGATTTTTATCAAACACTATAATATCACACTAAAATAATTATAAATCCAAACAAAATAACATCACAATATATAAAGGAATTAGTACATAAACAAATAAATACAATTTACAAACGTAACTAAATGCTTCCTAATTAATAAAATAGTCCATTAGGGTAAGATAACTATAGTTTGTACTCTGAAAATAATTGATTGTTAAAACGTGTTTAACATTTTCATGTTTGAATAAACAAGTTTCATATACAAGAACAAATGTTTTATTCCTAATAAAAATATTCAAAAAAGCTCAATAAAAAATTAAATTCATTCATTCTTCAAAAATAATGAAATTTTTGCCATATTTCTTTCATTTTTTTTGTCAACAAAAAAAATAGGAAATGTTGATCTTTATTCAAAGGAATATAATAAGATTCTCTTTCGTTGAAATCCCATGATTATGGAATGTGGAACAATTCAATTGTTATCAAGCATCTATATAGTGTACCGACCTTGGATATACGGAGAATAGTAAATTCCTGTTTGCCGTGTCTATTGGATAAAACCTTATCTGGGTCAGTCCAAGTGAAACCCAAAGGCGTTATACATGGATTCGCATACATTCTCTGAAAGGGGTTGGAGAGGAGGTGGACCTTAATGATCGAGTTCGTAAACGCACTCGTGCATCAAAACTACGCTCTTCAAATTGTGAATGTATTTTTTTGAGCGTCCACTATTTCAATATTTCTCTATTTCTTCATGGCATTTTTTATCTATTGTTTAATTTACCAATTTGTTTCGTATTTTCTATTCAATAGTCTGTAACTTTCCCCCCTCTTTTCTCCCCCCTTTTTCTCTAGTTTTTTTCCTTCTTTCTTTATTTCTTTTTTTCTTACTTTCTTTCTTTCTTCCTTTTTTTCTTTCTTTTTTCTAAATTTCTTTTTTTTCTACTTTTCTTTCTTTTTTGTTTTTTTTCCATTTTTTCTTTTTCTACTTTTCATTTTTCCTTTCTTTCTCTTTCTCTTCCTACATTTTTCTTTCCTTTTCGTTCTTTTTTCTTTTCTTTTTTCCTTTCTTTTTCTTTTTCTTCCTATATTTTTCTTTCTTTTTTGTTCTTTTCTCTTTTTTCTACTTTTTTCTTTCCATAGTTCTTTTCTTTCTATTTTTCTTTTTTTCTTTCCTTCTTCATTTTCATTCTCTTCTTGAGTAATTTTCAATTGTCATCGGCTTAACCTCGATTTTCCATGAATGTATATATATATTGATTCGTTTAACAATAATTAGTTCGCTGTCATTTTTCCCCATTTAAGAAACTGTTAATGCTTTATGCCGGAACTAGCAACTTGTTACCGATTTCTCGTAGGCAGGTACGAGCCGTGAAAATGATCTCCCTGTATACGGCGAAAGCGACGCGATCACGTTAGTCTGCTTACTCCGAGACTAGTAAACTCTCGACTTGGAGCGTGCTGAAGTCTCGCCTACTTCCGGTTCGAAGAATTGTGCTCCCGAATTCTCTCGCTTTCATTCATGACGAAAATTCAATCATTATAGTTACATCGACTATAGAAAATTGTTGTTTAAAAAAATTTTTAAAAAATAATTAAATGTTTCCTGAAGGTAAACAAATACAATGAATAACAATAAAATAAATAAAGAGTAAAAATTTCACAGGAATAAATAAAATAAAAATATTTTTCTTTTTTTAAGCAATATGCTTAAAAAATAAAAAAATTAGTAAATTCTAAAATTAATGATAAAATAAATAAGCAATAAAAATAACAAATAAATAAAGAAACAATAATAATATTACAAAAAATAAAATAAAAATGACAATAAAATAATAATTGACAATACAGATAACAATAAAAATTAAAATTGAATAAAAAAATAATTCTCTTTAGAATAAAAATGAGTCATTTAATTTCTTATTACTTCGAACGAAAATAAGTTCCCTTTGAATTGAATAGATAATTATTTTTCATTTGATTCTTGTCAAGAAACGAAAAGTTAGAAATTATTAAAGGATAATTATTTTTAAGTTATTTAAGGGATAATTATTTTTTAACCAAACATTAAAAATATTTATTATCTTTCATTTTCTTATATTTCTAAAATTTTTTTATTTTATTAAATTTTTCTTATATTTTTTATATAAAAAACTAATAAAATTGCCCTTTCGATTGTAAATTTAAAATTATCGATTACATTTATTCAATGAAAAAATTTAAATTAAAAATAATTAAACGAACAAAAAAATATTAAGCATATAGTGTTAGACAAAAAAGAACTGTGCGCATAAAGTAGTTTATTCTCGTAAATAAATAAAATATATACGTTTATAATTGTAAATCTTGTGTCAGACAGAAGACTTTCTTTTTACTGTTAAAATTAGTTTAAAATAAAATCTATGATTAATTTGATCTAAAAAACTACTTTAGGTGATAAATTCATAACCGGAGTTCTTGATGCGTGAAAGTCAAAAAAGGGAAACATTGCGGATTTTAATTTACAATACATTGTATATGATCGCCTTAATAGTTAATGTAGGTTACAATGCAGGAAAAAAATAATTACATATCCTCTTGTTCTCAGTTTCAATTTATTTGCAGAAATAAATAAATCAACTTTGCACTTTTTTTTAATTCGTTTATTTTTTTATTATGTTTTTATTTTTCTTTCTGTTTCATACTCTGGTATCTATTTCTTATTTTTCTTTTCATTTATTTTTACTTTTTTTCTAATTTCTTTTTTTATTTTCTAAGCACTCTGGTAAAATTTATTCATTTACTTGTTTGTTTATTTATTTATCAATGTAATTATTTTTAACTTTTCTATCTAATTTTTTTATTTTCTAAACACATGAACAAGTTTATTTGTTAATTAAGGGGGGATTCTTCTTTACATGGTCGAAAAAATCGATGATTTTTTTCTTGCTTATATCTGCAAGAAATACATCCAAGAATATGTACCAAAAGTTTTAAGGGGGCAGTCTGATCAAATCGAGGGTTTTTTCCAAAGTGTTTTTTCTAAAGATGTAATATACTTTTATAAACTAAAATTTTTTCACATGTAAGGGAACATATTCAGAAGAAAATTTAAACCAAAAAAAAATTAAATTAAATTTAAATATGTATAGATATAGTAGTGACAAGTCAAAGGGTTGTAAAAATCGGCGGGCGCTCTGGAGTCCACAAAAATGGTCTAAAACAGAAAATCGAAGAAATATTTGTTAAAAATTTTTTTTTCAACTTTTTAAAATTTTTTATT